TGCAAGCCATTGAGCACAAATACATTTAGAAATGTAATTCTCACACTTTCAAAAGAGTACATCCTGTTGAACTTGCACAGTCCTCCTATTTATCTCAGAGTAAACATTCTCAGGATTTCAACGTATAATATTAATACATAAATAGCTTACGATAGATAAAAAACATTGAGAGTCTCAACATCAGAGGAAACCTATTTTGCTACACTCTCAGCCCCAAGCTACTTTGATCTTAGTTGTTTTTTCCCCAAGGGACATCAGATCCAAAACAAATGAATTGTCTTAATGAAAGAAGAAAAGACTCGTATTAATTACAAGCTTCTCCTTCCCTTCACTATAGATGTAAGAAGCCTGAAATAAAGGTTGTTTTAAACTGGTATACCCCCACAACCCCCTTGCTTAGCCCTTATTAAATAATTTTTATGTTATAGAGATAAATGGTCTTTAGGAGAGCACTAAATCCTGTTGCAAGATGTAGGCATTAGCTGTGTAAGATAGAATCTCCAATCATGAGGGTCAACTAAAATAATAGATGCAAAGTTGTACATCTTATGTAGAATAATGGATTCTATATTACAGGATCTCCTAAAGTTAACATAGGTTAGGATCTCGGCATGGGCCTTCTATTCAACAAAGAATTCATCAAGGAATGCCAGTTGGTTCACTAAATAATGAAAAGTAAAGCCAGAGATTGGACAGATAACCAGGCAGTTAATATATTCCTTTCACTGTTTTTACAGTGATCTGTGATCTACTCAAGGAAGACTAGTAGCAGAAATCACTCCCTCAAATCCATGTATGAGAATGGTTAAGGAGACGGCAAGACAACCTTGACAAATCTTGACGCTCTCCTTTCCCTGCACAGGATAGAGGAATACTAGTAAGAAAGAGATAAGTATTTTTTTCCTTCAGCCACGCTATTAAAAAAATAATAATAGTGATTTCAGATTTATCTTCAGATTTATTCAAAATCTTGACAATAACTGCTGCTTGTATGCTCCAGCCAGTGTCTCATAATGTTGAGATAGTTTATGATAATGCTGGAATCCAGTACATCTCATTATCTCAAGGCTCCCTGGAAGCACACGTTTTGCAGTACTTCAGCTGCAAATGCAGAGCTACTGTAGAATGAAGGCAATGAGATGGACTGGAACCTGAGATTTCCAGATTCAAGGCCTGCTGAGCCAGTGAAATACTTTGGATGACCTTGGGCCAGTCCTTCTCTCTCAGCCTATACTCCTTCACATAATTTTTGTGAAGAACAAGTAGGAAGGAAAAGAAGCATATGCACCATCTTAAGCTCACTGGAGGAAAGGTAAGATACCAGTGGGATGGATGGACGGACGGACGGATGGATGGAATTTAAATGAGCCCAGATTTAGCCAAATGCTTCTACTGCCTGTTATCATTGCATTCTGTTGAATATATCTAATTCTAATTTTTTTACAAACTGGGCAGTAGATTCCAGTAACAATAGATTCCAATGGGAATATTTGATGGCACACAATGAGCTAGGCATGTGACAAATACTGTGATGAGAATATGCTGCGGTTAAAAGAAAAAACAGAGCCAACCTTTTAGTTACAGACCCAAGACAGCAATTTCATGCTGTCCTTCTAACACTATATACTCTAGCCATGTGTCATTTTAAATGCTTGGCTTTTACCACAAGCTTTTTGCCACAAGGCAGAAATATGTTCAGTTCAGCATTCTTCTCAGAATGCTGTGGAATTATATATACATTACACAGCATGTGAAAGAGTACCATTTTTCTTGTAGTCAATAGTTCTCATCCCGATAAGATGGTAATTCAGTGCATGGGAATTTATTTTCCTAGTTGGAAAATTTCCTTAGAATTGACATTTATACTAAATAAAAGCATGAGTAATTGCACAATGCTTTAGAAATTTGGATTCTGATAGCAATGGCTATACATGGAGAAGGCATCTCATTTAGCCGATTTTTGAAAGCTGCTTAATCATTCCCTCTTTGAAGAGTGTGGTTTAGAATGGCTTCTATGGGATGAGTATCGGTGTCCTTACTTAAAGTGCAGCTAAAAGTGTTTATTCTACTATGGCAGTAGGTACTTGCCGTTTAGGAAGATCCAGGTACATAAATAGCCTTACATGCCTATACTCCTCACTAGAACAAGAATCTCAGGTGTCAACTAGATGCTCACTGAAAGGAGTGTGCAGTCCATCTACACTGCATTGCTTTGAATGGCACACGCTTTACAATGTACATTTGGGTTCTCAAGCAAGTGGCCAAATATTAACAGACTGCATAGGAAACAGCTGTGGAATACATAAGCAATAAACTATTAATCTTCATGTTTGTTTTATACTATGCATGCACTATTACAAATGTTCTTTTTCTTACATACAATCCTCTCCTGTGAAGAAATTGTTTGGGGTGGCAGGGTGGATCTCAACCTTAACAACACTGGTTTCCTGGCAAAGCTGAGAATTGCAGGTGATACTTAGACCAAATACCCAGCCTTTTTCTCTTCTCATCCTTCTTGTGAACAAGGTTACAGATGCTCATTTGCCTCTTCTTTCCATATCCAACTCTTTTCTATAACAAATTCATTCTTATTCCCAAGTAAATCTCTTTTACAGAAAGACAACTAAAATTACCTCCTATTTTATGTCTTGATCATGACGGTGCTATGATTTGAAAATAAAAGGTGCAACTACACACATCCAATGTCTTTTTTTAAAAAATAGGGTTAATAATTCTCTTCAAGATAAGCAAGATTGTCTTTTCAATTTATATGATATTTTAAAAATCTGTGATCATTTGAGATTTCCTATTTCTGAAAGGGGGAAACAGGTTTACTTTTTAAAAAATCTTAACTCACAAACTTCTCCATATATGGAACAGAACAAAGAAAGATGATGGCAGAAAGTGAGGAGGAATTGAAGAACCTCTTAATGAGGGTGAAAGAGGAGAGTGCCAAAAATGGTCTGAAACTCAACATCAAAAACAAAACAAAACTAAGATCATCACCACTGGTCCCATCACCTCCTGGCAAATAGAAGGGGAAGATATGGAGGCAGTGACAGAGGTTACTTCTTGGACTCCATGATCATTGCAGATGATGACAGCAGCTAAGAAATTAAAAGACGCCTACTTCTTGGGAGGAAAGCGTTGACAAACCCAGACAGCATCTTAAAAAGTAGAGACATCACCTTGTCAACAAAGGTCCGCATAGTCAAAGCTATGGTTTTTCCAGTAGTGATGTATGAAAAAGAGAGCTGGACCATAAAGATGTCTGACCTCCAAAGGATTGATGCTTTTGAATTGTAGTGCTGGAGGAGACTCTTGAGAGTCCCCTGGACTGCAAAGAGAACAAACCTATCCATTTTGCAGGAAATCAACCCTGAGTGCTCACTGGAAGGACAGATCCTGAAGCTGAGGCTCCAATACTTTGGCCATCTCATGAGAAGAGAAGGCTCCCTGGAAAAGACCCTGATGTTGGGAAAGTGTGAAGGCAAGAGGAGAAGGGGATGACAGAGGATGAGGTGGTTGGACAGTGTCATCGAAGCTACCAACATGAATTTGACCCAACTTTGGGAGGCAGTGGGCCTGGCATGATCTGGTCCATGAGGTCATGAAGAGTTGGACACCACTAAATGACTAAATAACAGCAAAGAAAAGATTGTTTGCTAGAACTATGCTAGATTTGGTGCTGATCCAAAACCCAGTTTCAAGGTTATAATTTTTGTTTGGCTGCCCCCATTTTTAGAATTGTCTTGTAGAATGTTGATTTGCTGTGCTGCAGACTATCATAGATGCATTCCCATGCAGCAATAATCTCTTCAGGCTCATGCATCTAGAGGACTACTCCAGCAATATTCCAAGGAGCTCCACAGTGCTGGTGCAAACACTATAGATTATTTGTTTCAGCCCAGTGAATCTGGAAAACTTAGGAAAGGGATGTAATTCATGATCTCTGCTGAGAAAGAGAAGGAGAACTGCAAATGGTAGGAGCATGGTATAGCCTTTACCATCTTGGTTTACGTAGTGGAATTTCAATATGTTTGTCCAGGGGGTCAATAGAAAGATGAATCCATGTGGTGATATTATATATTTTATTTATATTTTATTCTTGGATTTGTTGTACATCTTGAGCTGCCTCCTTTGTGTAGTGGATTTTCTGCCTTAACTGATAAAAGATAGCTGATACTTTATTCCTGACTCATTTGACTTCAAAGAAACATTTGCATGCTTCACTTTTCATACAAGCAACTCCTGCTCTGGCATAGTGTACAATATGTAGCATTCAGTTTGGGACTGTGCTTCTTTTACTTTTGTTGTTTTGTTGTTTGAAAAAAAATCACATTTTGGTGTTTCTAATATCCTTTAAAAGAGAGCCTGATACAGCAGCTGAAACAACTCTGGTGTTTCTGATAGTCTGGAAAAGGATGCAAAACCAGGGATATGTCCAGGATCCTGTCATTCTGCTTAGATTGACACACCCATTCATTATATTAATACATTCTGACAATGGATTATGGGAACAATAGTTAATCAATATTAGAAAGGCCACAGTTTCCCAAGGCAGAGTTTCCTTATCCCAGATCTGTAAGTAGAATAGTTGTATTCCCTTTAGCTTCACTAGTTCAGAATGATACTCCTTTCTGATTCTTTCTCTCACATTACATGTTGATTACTTTGGAAACTTCCTTCATCCATAGCTCACTTTCGATTGAGAGGCATTTATTCTCTTTTCTCCAAATAGTACCTCATACTAGAACCTGACATTATAGCCTCATTACATCCTGTTCAGCTTGAAATGGATCTGTTGTACAGAAAGGCAAAATACACCCTATGTAATGAAGGTCATCTTCATCACAGTATAGCCATATAAAATACGTTATCTTGTAACTGGCATGTTGGTTCAGATTCCTGAGGACTAACTTGAATTGCTGGCTTTCTTTAGCTAGTCTGCATTTTTGGATGCACAATAATTTGTCTCATTGTGATGTTCTTATTTACAGCTGCTGCTGCTGCAGATATGGCCTACCATCACATCAGGCCTCCAATTGGCTATTCAATTCCCAAACCCATCTCCTCATTGCTAATGAGGGGATGGAATGCATGCCCTGAGGTAAGTGGACCCATTTCTTAATTTCCCAAGCAAGATATTGTCACTGTTCCTGGTAAAGAATAACATGTGAAGGTGACTTTTCTATAGATATGCAACAGCTTTTAGCCGGGGAACAAATGTCATTTTATGAGAAAACTAAGAGGGAATCTTTCATGCAACACTATTTGTATGAAAGCCAAAACCCATTGCTTTGATGGTTGTTGTGGGTTTTTCGGGCTTCTTGGCCGTGTTCTGAAGGTGGTTCTTCCTAACATTTCGCCAGTCTCTGTGGCCGGCATCGAGAATCTTTCATGCAACACTATTTGTTTGAAAGCCAAAACCCATTGCTTTGAATCTGGCATGTTCACGCATGCCACCCTTACCCAATGGGCCATACAAAATAGGGATGATGAGAGCTATAGTCCAGTGTATCTGTACAGTGCCAACATTTGGAGGAGCATGGGCTATAATATGGTTGCAGCCTAAAGCCATTTCCATGTTTTAGATAGTTCTGATCCAAAATAGTTTGTTGCAAGTGATAGGGCTGCAAATTGTATCTCTATGCTGTGCAAAAAGAGGAACTTGCAAAGTAGACAATATGTTTGTCATGTATTTTGCACATGTGCTCACCTGAGTGGTGAAAATGCCTTTTTCTCAGCAGAGTGTTTTCCTTTCCTATGTGTCTTTCGCTCGGCATCTTTTGCTTTTCAGTTGGACATCTTGAGGTAAACACAGGCTTAAACTACAAGGCATAGATCTCTGGGGGAGTCTTTTTGTGGGTTCATTTTCCACTAGAAGAACATTTGGAACTAAAAACAGATGTCCCACATTGCCAAAGATACTGTGCTTTTATGTCTGAGCTTCCTGCCATGTTCCATCTTCGTGACGTGGTTGGGACACAGCAGTACAAGAGCAATGGGTGTGGTTTACCTGAGTAGATTTTTCCTATTCAGACTTGAACACACATTCATGCACACATCCACGCACATGGACACACAGACGCAGATGCATGTACGCATGCACGCGCGTGCACACACACACACCACACAGACGCACACACACTCAAGCTTCCATCTCAGCTCTTCCAGACTTCCTTCTACTTCCTCCCCTTCTGGCAAGTTTGCCCAACCTCAGCCTCAAGCTTCTATCTCAGCTCTTCCAGACTTCCTTCTAGTTCCTTCCCTTCTGGCAAGTTTGCCCAACCTCAGCCACCTGGCAGAAAACCCAGCTGAGTCAGGAAGGAGTTTGCTGCTCCTGTTGCAATCTGATCTTCCTCCTCCTCCTCCTCCTCACAGAGAGAGGCAATTCTTTTCCTTCTTTGCTCCCTGCAGAAGGTGCCTATCACCTCATACAGGACCTGATAAACAGCAGTGAAAGAGAACAAGGGGAGTGCAGACAAAAGCCAAAACAAGCCGCAGCTCCTTTAAAGAACACAAGAAATCAGATTGCTCCCTATGCACCTCTCTGAATTGAGTGGCTCTCTCTAAACATATGATTAGAAATGCAAGCTTTTCCCAGCGAAGATAAGTTTTGTTACTATACTTGGGCTGGTTGAAAGTAAAGAGCCAGGGAGAGAGAGAAGCAGGAGATGGCATATATCGAGGTGTAAAGTGTTTCGTCACTAGGAGTCAAAATAAAATTGTGGAGTTATTCCTTTTCCTCCATGCATTTTTAAGGGAGAAGTAAGAGGTTTTTAAAATAAATGAATGAATAAATAAAGGGCAGAAAACACGAAAGGACTGCTGGTCAATCAACTGCTCTGTAAGTTCCACTGATTCAATGGGCCTAGTCCAGTTGCAACTTCCTATGCTCAGCAACAGGATTTCAGCCAATAGTTCCATTGTAATGCAAACATCGTCACATTGTATAAGAACAAAGGAGACAGGGGTGACTGCCATAACTATCATAGCATCTCTTTTCTCAGCGTTGTAGGGAAGCTGCTTGCCCGTGTTGTGCTGAAGAGACTCCAGGTGCTTGCAGACAGAGACTATCCAGAATCACAGTGTGGATTTCGAGCTAATAGATCCAC